AACTTTTATCTTTTAATGAGCAAATTTATCTCCAAAAATTATACCATAACTTAACATTGTCCTCTTTGGACTTGTAAAAGTGAACTTTTACTCATAATTTCCCAAGATTAAAAAGGAAGAATTTGAAAATCTGAACAGAATAGTTTTGTGCCTATTTTTAAAAATTGAATTGGTAATTTAAAACCTCACTAAGAAGCTATTAGACTGAGGTGACATTATTAGGGAATTCTTACAAAATTTAAAAAAAGAGTAATACCATTTTTATAAAGCAAGAAAAAGAGTTTACATATCCCATGTCTTGGAAAATGATTTTGAGTGACCCTAATAGTTACTTCTGAGTATTTGAGAGCTCATGGAATTCTTACGCTCTGTTGGCGTGAAGGTAAATTTCTCAAAGCATTTTGTGAAATAGTTTAGCTGTCTACTGAATGTGATTGGATGCAGCAAATCCTGTCACTCAACAATTCAATCCCTAGTTATATACACCTCATTTAAGTGTACATAAGTCCACCAAAAGGTTTATGAAGAGTGTTCATTGCAGCATTCATATCAGCCCTGATCTGGAAACAGCCCAAATGATCAATAGAAGACAGATATATAAATCGAGTTATTGTCATACACTGAAATATTACATAGCAATGACTAAGAACCAGATTACCACTATATGCATCAGTACTGATAAGTCTCACAGAAATAAATGAAATAAAAATAAAAAAGTCCAAAAGATTAACAAAACTGAAAGCTGGTTCTTAAAAAAGTAAACAAAATAAACAAACCTCCAACAGGGTTCACTAAGAAAACAAGGGAGAAATTTCAGATAAATGGGATCAATAAAAAGAGAGAAATTACCACCAACACTGCAGAAATTCAGAGGATAATTTGAAACTACTATGAACATTTATAGGCTAATGAATTCAATAACCTAGAAGAGATGGACCAATTCTTATAATTATACAATCATCTGAAACTGAATAGGGAAGAAATAAAAATCCTGAACAGACCAATCACAAGCAAGGAAATTGAAATACTAATCAAAAGTCTCCTAAAAAACGAAAGTCCAGAACCAGATGCTTTCACAAGTGAATTCTACCAAACCTTAAAAGAAGAAATACCTATCCTGCTCAAACTCATCCAAAAACTAGAAAAAGGAACACTTCAAAACACATTTTATGAGGCCAAAATTACTCTAATATCAAAACCAAAGACAACACAAAAAGGATAAATTACAGACCAATTTCTGTAATGAACACAAATGCAAAAATCCTCAACAAAATCTTAGCAAGCTGAATCCAACAATGCATTAAAAGGACCATACTCCATGCCTGAAATTCATATCAGGTACTCAAGGATTGTCCAACATCTTAAAATCATTGTAATTCACTACATTAACAAAGAGAAAGAAAAGCCACACGATCATATCTATAGATGCCAAGAAAATGTTTGATAAAATCCAGCATCCATTTATGATGAAAATCCTTGAAAATTGGGCATAAATGGAACTTATCTAACATAATAAAGGTCATATATGACAAACCCATAACTAGCATCATTCTCAATGGGTAAAAATTGAAAGCCTTTCCACTAGATCTGGTACAAGACAAGGATGTTTACTCTCAACACTACTATTCAGCGTAGTATTGGAGGTCCTAGCTAGAGCAGTCAGGCAAGAGAAAGACATACAGGGAATCCAAATTGGGAAAGAGGAAGTAAAACTATCAATATTTGCAGATAACATGACAATAAATGTATAGAACACTCAAGACTCCATGGAAAGACTAATAAAAAACAAACCAGTTCACAAAAGTGGCAGGTTGTGAATCAACACACAAAATCAGTTGCCTTCCTATATGCAGACAGTGAGCTAAAAGAGGGGCAAATTAAGAAAACAACCCCACTTACATGAATTTCATACCATCAAAAAATATAAATACGTAACAGTAAACCTAACAGGAGGTTTACTCTAAGGAAAACTCTAAGACATTGTTAAAGGAGATAGTGGAAGACACAAAGAAATGCAAAGAAGATATTCCCTGCTCGTGATTTAGAAGAATCAACATTGGCAAAATGGCCATCCTACCCAAAGCAATCTATAGATTGAATGCAATTACAATAAAATTTTCAATGGCATTCTTCAAAGAAATGGAGCAAACATTACTGAAATTCATGTGGACCACAAAAGACTCCAAATAGTCAAAGCCATCCTAACAAAAAAGGGAGAAATGGTGGTTTTATCTACCAACTTAAAACTATGTTATAAAGCCGTAATAAGTAAAACACCATGATACTGGAATAAGACCACATGCAGACCAATGAAATAGAATTGAGAACCCAGAAATAAATGCACACATGTATGCTAATCTTTGACAAAGGAGCCAAGAGTATACATTGGAGAAAGAAGTGTATCTTCAACAAATAGTATTGGGGAAACTGGACCACAGTGTCACACCATACACAAAAAACAACTCAAAATAGATAAAAGACTTGAATGCAAGACCTTAAAACAATAAAATATAGAGAAGAAAACAGCAAAACATTCCAAGACATAAACTTCAGAGATATCTTTACGAATTGATCCCCAGCAGCAAGGAGAACAAAAGATAACATAAACAAGTGGGATTACGTAAAATTAAAAAGCTTCTACACAGTGAAAGAGACCATAACTAAAACAAGGAGTCACCTTGTGGTGTGAGAGAAATGATTGCATACTATATATATATTTGACAAGGGACTGATATCAAAGATCAACAAAGAGCTCATACAATTCAACAAAGAGAAAATAACCCAATGAAAAAATGAGCAGTGGAATGAAATGGACACTTCTCCAAAAAAGACATACAGGTGGCCAATAGGCACATTAAGAAAAAGTTCATTTCACTTACTGTCAGGGCAATGCAAGTCAAAACCACAATAAGATACCCTCTCACACCAGTGAGAATGGAGCATATGAAAATGACTAGAAACAAGTACTGGCAAAAGTGTGGAGGAATATGGTGTTGGAGATCATGTAAACTGGTCCAGCCCCTAAGGAAAGCAGTGTGGCGGTTTCTCAAAAGACAGAAAATGGATCTGCCATACAATCCAGCAATTGCATTCCTAGGTCTCTACCCCCAAAATAGAAAGACATTAATTTAAAAGGAAATCTGCACCCTTATGTTCATAGCAGCACTGTTTGAATAGCAAGATCCAGAAACAACCTAATTGCCCTAAAACAGATGACTGGATCACGATGTGGTGTGTTTGTGTGATCCAGTCATCTGTTTATATGTGTGTGTGTGTGTGTGTGTGTATACACATATATATATATGTTTATATATATGCAGTGGAATATTACTCAGCAATCAAAAAATATAAACTCATGCCATTTGCAACAACATGGATAGAGTTGGAAGGGACAATGCTAAGTGAAATTAGTCAGAAAGACAAAAGGGGAGGGAGGGAGGGAGGAGCACAGGGGACTGAAGTGATGGTACATGGATGCATTGGTGCTGCAAATGGCATGAGTTTATCTTTTTTGATTACTGAATAATATTCCATTGTGTATATATACCACATCTTCTTGATCCAGTCATCTATTTTTGGATGTTTGAGTTGTTTCCAGGTTTTACCTAATGTAAATAGTGCTACAGTAAACATAGGGGTACAGGTGTTCTTTTGAATCAACGTTTTTGTGTCTCTTGGGTAGATCCCTAGGAGTGGAATTTCCGGGTCATATGGTAGCTCCATTTTTAGTAGACTGAGGAACCTTCAGACAGCTTTCCATAGTGGTTGGACCAGTTTGCACTCCCACCAACAATGTAAGAGAGTTCGTTTTTCACCACATCCTCGCCAACATTTGTTGTTGCTAGTTTTTTTGATATGTGCCATTCTTACTGGTGTAAGGTGGTATCTCAATGTGGTTTTGATTTGCATTTCCCTGATGATAAGGGATGTTGAACATTTTTTCATATGCCTGTTGGCCGTTTTCATTTCCTCTTTGGAGAAATGCCTTTTAAGTTCTCTGCCCATTTCTTGACTGCATTGTTTACTGTGTTTTTGTTGAGTCTTGTGAGTTCTTTGTATGTCTTTGTGATCAGTCCCTTATCAGTTATATGGAGTGCAAAAATTTTTTCCCAGTCAGTGGGGTGTCTCTTTAAAAACACAAGAAAATATTGAGTGAAGGAAGCCAGTGAAATGGAATGTGATTTACTTATATAAAATTCAAACCCCTGTACAATTTATCTATGGCAGCAGATTTCAGAGTAGCCATTAGTTTGCGAGGGCATTATTAACTGGGATGGGATATGAAGAAGGTTCTTGGTTTTTTTTCTTGTTCTGAGTGGTGGTTGCTAGAGTTTGTTCATATTATGCATAAAGCATTGTCAAACTGTAACTTTATGACTTGTACCCTTTACAATATGTACTTTATTCAACTTTTTAAAGTAAACTACTCAGAAAAGAGAATAAGTATGGATGCAGTAGCCTGGAACAACTTGAAGGGGGACAAGTAAATAAAAGCTTAAATCTTACATTTATGTACTCTCAATAGATTCAACATAAGATTGAAAATGAAGTACCTATATATGACTCCAAGAAGCTCCTTTTTCCTTTAAGGGAAGGAAAAATAATTCCTTTAGAGATAGCATTTGGGATGTTCATAAGAGTATTAATAATCTCTTGATATTTATTTCATTGTTTAAAATTGCGTCCATTTAACAAAACCAATTTGTGATGTGTAAAGGGAACACTATCTGTGAGATGCTTATGAAAGTTTAATTGCAATGTTATCTTAATAAAAAAATTAAATAAAATTAAAATATAAATCGCAATAAAATAAATAAATAAAAGTTCAATGACAGCCGCTTACTCTCATCCTCATGGAATTTTTTCCATTGAATGTTTGATAGAGATCACAAAGGCCTTAGATTATTACATGTTGTTTGTAACTGATAGTATGTGTTCCCACTGACTCATCAATCATCTTTGTTGTCATTGTGAACTTATAGGATCCATTTTCTTTTTAGGTGCAGGTGTTTGGGCTGTATTCTGGAGAAGAATTTCATGAGACTTTCGACTGTCCCATTAAAGTAAGTATTCAGTAAGTTTTGATTTTTTTTCCAAGGTTTTTTCAGTGAAGACCGTAAGAATTACAATGTTTTGAACTCTGCCAGTCTTGGATTAATTTTGTCATTAAGCATGTATTTAGCACTGACGATATAGTAGATACTATTGGAATCTGAGTAGAAGGGCAAGGTGTATATTATGTGAATCTTACTGTAGTGGGTGAGATGATACACACACACACAGAATCTGTAACTAAAGACTCAGAGAGCTAGAGACAGTGCTAAGGAGTTCAAAGCTGAGAGAAGTCACTTCTATCTGTTCTTATTAATGATGACTTCATGGATGGGGTGATGTTTGACCAGGCTTTAATAAATGGACAGAACAGAGAGAGAAACACACTTTCATGTGGAAGAACAGAATAATAGAAGTAAAGAGGCTAGAAAGTTCAAATTGTGTTTAGGAAATGGCAATAGTCTAATTTAGGTGGTGCTTAAAATACTGAGTTGACAGGAGAGCTGCATCTGGAGGCAGCTCTGGTTGGCTTTATACTCAGGCTAGGAAATTTGGACTCTGTCTAGTAGATAAGAAGAAATTATTGAATGTTAAGAGCAAAGACATGGCATATGCTGAACTAAGCTTAAGGAAAATTAACACAGAATTACATACAGTATAGACTGGAAGGCTGAGCAGGAGAACCAGTTTTAGATAAGTTATAGCAGTTAAAGTGACTATTAGTTGTTAAAGGAAAGAGGGGGTTATTCCATTTTTGACTTGTGTATTCAAACTGTCATTGATTAACAGGTGAAGAAGATGTAGAACCTGAGGTGTGTTTTAGAAAGCCAAATCTGCCAAAATGGAGAGTAATTTAAGCAAGAAAGTGGGAATAAGAGATAATTGAGAAGGCTAATGCAGTACTCTTGGCAGACATTACAGACTCTCGATTAAAAAAAAAAAAGAGTATTCAAGATGGAATAGAGGAAATGATTTTGGAAGACCTTTGTGAAATAGACTTAACAAGCCTTAATAATAACTTGCATGAGGGTGATAAAAAGTGGACGAGCAGAGGGTAAATCCAGGTTCTTGCTTTGGTCATAAAGGTGTTTTGGAATGCCACCAATTGCAAAGGTGATGGTTTGAGTATGGATGTTGCTCATTTGGTCTTGAGTTAGATGACTGTAGTACATCTGGTGGAAATGTAATAGAGGTTTTGGAAACATGAGTATGGACTTAAGGGTGGACAGTGGCTCCAAAAACACAAAGTTCACAACTGAGTGAAGTAAGGAAAAGTCATTTCAAAAGATACTCCATTAAAGCTAAAGAGAGAAGATTGATGCTGAAATTTTGGAGCACCAATTTAAAGATTCAGGCAGTGGAATAAAATGCAGCAAGGGATCTAAGAAGAACCAGATAAAGGGACTGCAGGGGGTCTAAAAGTGTAGTGTCTGGGAAAGGGAGGGAGGTAATCCAAAAACAATGTGGAGATTACATGGGACAAGGACTGAAAGAAGTTATTTTATTGGATAATTATGAAGGCCCTGGCAGCCTCAGTGAGGACAGGTTTCAAAAGCACCAGGCTCATCTGACCAAGAAGTCAGCTGGAGAATGAGGTGTTAGAAACAACAATGTAGACTTTTCTTTCAAGATATTTGGTAATAAGGAAGGGAGAGCCTGTGGGAGACAGAGAGATGGCAGTGTCTGGACATTTCTTCAGGACTTGTTTTGGTTGATGGTAAAGAGTCAGTAGGGGAGGGGAAAATGGAAAATGAAAGGGAATAATTGGTGGAGAGGTGCTAAGGGATGGAATCAGTCTGACAGGGAAAATGACCTTAGAAGAGTCACACAGCTTGTGCCTGTGAGACCGAGCCCAGCAATTGCTAAGTTGGGAACAGCAGTGAAAAGCAGAAGAGCTGGAAGGAGAAAGGTCATGTGACATAGGCACATCAGTGATGCTCCAGAATAACACTACTCTCTAGAGTTAAACATTATAAGAGAGTTAGGCTCTTATGAAAGATTTTTAAAGTGTATTATAGCAACAGAACGTATATATGATTTGATGTTGGTATCTAGGGTGGTTGAAGAAAGTGAAGGCAAGAAAGTCTAATTTGGGATGGAGGATGTTTAAAGAAACAAGGAATCATATGCTTAAATCCCTAAAATTGGCAATGCAGGAAGAGGAACCTGTCCCTTGAGAGAATGGAAATGTATTGGTTAATCAGTAAGAATGTAATATGTAGTTAGGTGTAGGTTTATGGCTTAATTATTATTTTTTTTTAAATTCCTAGAAGCATCCAGTGTGTCAGGCTAGAAAAGATATATATTAGTGAATGATTACATGGATTTGTAGATAAAAAAATAAGGAAACAGAGCATATGCAGACTTATAATCACGGAAGGGGAGCCCCAAAGATGGGCTTGCACTGAGTGGAGCCATTAGGCCTTCCGTGAAGTAAACAATAAATGAAGTAAACAACAATGAAGGTGGAGCAACCTTGGGAGAAACAGGTATGCGGGGCTGGGAGGAGACTGAGTGGAAAGTAAAGATAACCAAAGGACTAAGAACTGAAGCTATAGATAAAAGGGGAGGTCCTTCAGGTTAGCCCTTTAACTCCTGGGTCCTACAGCTCTGTTCTCTTTCCCACTGGCATGTCTGTGAAGCCGCATAGCCCTGCCTGTTCTCCTTGGTGCTCTCAGTCACTGGAAGATGGCATCTTTACCTCCGCTGCTTCTGTGAATTTTGTATTCACTTACAAACATTTGTGACATCTTAATGTCTTGTTTGACCTCCCTTTCTGTCTCTAAGGAGGGGATGCCCACAACGAGGGTTCCCATCAAAAGGACCCCACTCAGCCAGAAACTACAACTAACTCATTTTCATCTTTTAGCTTTGACCTGCCTTAATAGAGGTTATCTTTTCTTTTCACACAAGAGCAAAACTCATATGTCCTTGGTTCGGTGTAGAATATTACCTGAATAGATCCCACTAAGATGGCAGAATAGTTTTTAGATCATGTTGCCTGTGATGTACAAAGGTTTTCATTCTGTACGTTAACCTGAATCTTAAACTAGTGTCATCTGTCCTTGTTTCCTTGTAGATAGTGGCTGTGCACCCTCATTTTGTGAGATCCAGCTGCAAGCAGTTTGTGACCGGAGGGAAGAAGGTAAACCCTGTGTGTCTGTATGAAGCCTTAATTTAAGGGGGGTTCTCTTTGCTTTTTAATTTATCCTTAATATTTTTAATACTTGATCATTAGGAGAAAAGAGAAAGAACATGTAAAGAACATGAAATTGCTTGTTGGCCCATTATCTCTGATGGGGCAGCTCCTCTTCCTACACTGTCCATTTTAGGGCTCTAAGCATATGACTCCTTATTTCTTGTATTATGACCTCCATGCTTCTCTCTCTGGCTTTTATTTGAATTATCAGATATTTTAAGAGTATATTAGATATATGGGGCCACCCCGGTGGTGCAGCGGGTTGAGTGCAGCACTGTAAAACTGTCCTCAGCCTCTGTAGTGCGGGTTTGATTCCCGGCCAACCAGAGACCTCTCCTATCACGCACCTGCTGCTCCCCTCAACAGTGCTTTCAGTCTGTCTGCTTGTTCGCGCCCCACTCTGTCTCTGATGAATCCTCTCATCTTCCCACGCCTCGGACTATACCCCAACTATTGTATAAATAAAAAATAAAAAAAAAACTTATTAAAAAAAAGAGTGTTAGGGCCTCCCCGGTGGCGCAGCGGTTGAGCGCTGGGTTGCGAAGCTGCCCGCAGCCTTTGCAGCGCCGGTTCGATCCCCAGTTGCTCCCCGGCCCCCGGAGGAGGGTCCCACATGGCATGCAGACCTCTCCTGCCGCCCGCTGCTCCCCTCAGCAGTGTACTTCGGTCCTTCTGCCTGCTCTGCTCCCCGCTCTGGCTCTGGTGAATTCTCTCACCCTCCCGCGCTTCAGACTATACCCAGTGCTTGTATAAACAAAAAACAAACAAACAAACAAACAAATAAATAAATAAAACATGCCTCTATTAAAAAAAAAAAAGTGTGTTAGATATAGGGCAAGAGGCAAAGCACTTTGAAATATTGTTCTTGTCACCGAAGAGAAGTAGCATTTAAAAATAACAGGGCCTCCCTGTGCCTCCCGGTGGCACAGCGGTTGAGCGCTGTGCTGCCCTGCAGCCTAGGCATCGCCGGTTCATTCCCTGGCCACCGGCAAGGGTCCCACAAAAAAAAAAATAAATAAATAAATAAACAAACAAACAAACAAATAAATAAATAAATAAAAATAACAGAACAACAATTAAACAGTTGCTTTTTCCCCTTATGGAAAACCTCTTGCAGGCCTTGATAAAGTTTTAAAACAATGCTAGCTATTTATTAGTGACATGTTCCTGCGTATTTTACTATCTTACTGCTATTTGAAAAATAAGAGAGTAAAATATTCATGTTGTACATTTATATGTTTGCTTATAGATACAGTAAATTCTAAAATTAAAGAATCTGCTTTGGAATTTTCAGGTTAATTTTTATTAACCAGTGATATTTTTTAAACCACTTTTTATAACCAACGCTGTCACTATATTGAAACTCTGAATATTATTTCATATTCTGCTTGGAGCTCAGTGAAAAGGAGCTGGTCTTTTCTGTAGCATTGTATTGCTAATGGAAGGTCTGCTATGATACTCAGTTACCAAATGGTTTTGAATGTTTTATGAGTCATGTGTTGTTTTCCCTTGGTCTGCTGAGTCATGGACGGACATGGCAGGAAAGCACACTGGTCATTCATTGCCTTACATAGTATTTCTCAAGCACTGGATTTAGCTCACTGTAATGGCAGGCCTTGTGTATCCCGATTCCATTCCACAGCACAAAGCCAAGACTGCACCAGCCTGTTTTCTGGTTGAAAGCCAGCTTCTTCTCCCGCACCCCACCTCTGCATCTCCCCATAGCTCACAGTTACACCTGGGTTCTAGTCTCTTTACCCTTACATAAAAAACATATCTGTGGAGTTGAAATTACCAATTTAATGTAACCTTTTCTGACATATCTTTAGCTGATTTACCTTTGAAAAATATAAATACCTTACTTGTCTTTGCTGACCTCAGGAAAAAAATTAGTCTTAAATTGCTCGTGTTAAAATAATTCTTTATTGTTTTTCTAATTAGGAAATTTAATGTGAGATATAGTACAAATCAACTTAGCTGTAACTTAAACCTATCCATTTTTTTAAAGTTACTGGAGATAAGTATGCTGAACTATTATGTTTTTGTCGGTGACTCAAAACAGCAAACCTTATTATCTCACAGTTCAAAAGTTAAAGAATTTAATTTTTGTGGTTCTGTTGCAGAACATTTCTTGCATAGAAGTTTTTGGTCTAGGTTTTGCATGGGGTTGCAGACATCTGTAGACTAGATGGGAAAATCAGCTTCTAAGATGTCTTCTGCCTTCTTAATAACAATCCCTCATAAAATATCATTATCTTGAAATGTTGATAAATTACTTTGGTTTAAGTATTTCCCTAGTATAGGATGCGGTTTTGAGTTCCAGTTTCCATATTCAGGGGTTAAAGGTTTTGTCATTGTGCCCTATTTCTTGAAGGTATTGATATGAAAGATCATGTTAGAGATTATATAAAATGTGATGGCCGAGTGGTAGGACTCGAATTCTGAAGGTCAGATTTTTTTCTCTGTTGGTGCCTGTTTTTAATAATTAGTCTATAGGGCCTCCCCTAGTGGTGCAGGCAGTTGAGTGCAGCCCTGTGAAGCTGTCTGCAGCCTCTGCAGCGCGGGTTCAATCCTGGCCCACTGGCGAAGGTCCCACATGGCACGGCAGACCTCTCATATCTCGCCCACTGCTCCCCTCAGCAGTGTATTTCTTCAGTCTGCCTGTTCTGTTCCCCACTCTGTCTCTGGTGAATCCTCTCACCCTCCCGCACATCTGACCTGTACCCCGGTTCTTGTATAAATAAATGAATAAATCTTTTAAAAAATAATTAGTCTATAACTTAATAATTAGTCTATGAACTGAAAAATTTCTGTTTATGGGATTTAATGATTTTTTTGTTTTTTTCTCCTGTGAGGGATGCCAATGTCTCTTCAAGTTTGCCACAGTTGTTTGCTACAGGACTCCTTTGTTACTGTGTCAGTAACATACTCCTTGTCCTTCTACTTAATAGTTGAATCATTACAGGCATCTATAGGACAGACATTGTGAATGTAGCTATTGGGGCCAAAGCTTGTTGAGTAGATACATGAGCTTTGTTTGAAGAGTAGTCCAGTAGGAAGAAGTTGGAATTTATGTGCAGGTAGATGTTGTGATAAGCAGTAAAAAAAGTAGAATTGGGCCTCCCTGGTGGCGCAAGGGGTTGAGCGCAGTGCTATGAAGCTGTCTACAGCCTCTGCAGCACGAGTTGAATCTCCGGCCAGGGAGCTATCCACATGGTGCAGCAGACCTCTCCTGACTTGCCCGCTGCTCCCCTCAGCAGTGTACCTCAGTCTGTCTGCCTGTACTGTTCCCTGCCTCTGTCTCTTGTGAATCCTCTCACCTCCCACACCTCTGGCCTGTATCCCAGCTCTTATAATCATAAATAAATAAATCTTTAAAAAAAATAGAATTTACCAAATTCAAGCTAGGCAAGGACATTGGGAATCTAGTTCATCCCATTGGTTATCACTGACTTCTTGATAAGTCCAATGTTAAATGTCCTGAGAGACCATTGTGGTTCCTCCTTTTTTTCCTATTCAGTTCTCCAGAAGTGCATCTGTACATTTCTTTCTAAGCAACAACAAAAACAAAAAAGATGTTTAGTGATATGTGTATAAAATACAGATAGTTCAGGTCTTCTGGTGAAAAACTTTAAAAATTATATTATTAAGTTTAAATTTCTGGGTTAAAGTAATTTAAAAGAAAACACACACTGGAGGGTTAGCATATTTTCTAATAAAGGTTACTATAAGGGGTTTGATAACAAGTATGTGTGTGATATTTTAAATGAACATTTATTTGATTACACGTCAATATAAGTGATGTCTCTCTTTTAGGTTTTAATAGCTTTGATATATATTTTGCAACCATGAAGTTTACATTTTAAAGGGGGCAGTTTGATCATTTTTAGTATATTTACACAATCGTGTAACCATCACTATAATTTGATTTTAGAACTTTTTGTCCTCCCCTAAAGAAACCTTTGACATAATAGCACTAATTCCTATCTTCTTTCTCCCCTTCCCAACCTTAGGCAGCTCCTAATCGACTTCATTTCTCTATACATTTTGCCTATTTTTGGATACTTCATATAAATTCTGGATATTTGATATAAATGGAATCATACAGTATGTGGTCTTTGTGTCTGACTTCCATTTGTTTCAATACCTTGGTGATATAGCACACATCAATATTTTATTCCTTTCTCTGGCCAAGTTATATTTCATTGTTTATATGTTATATTTCATTGTATAGATATGTCATTTTATTTAGCTATTAATAAGTTGATTGAGATTGGATTTTTTCTACCATTTGACTATTGTGAATACTGTTACTGTGAACATTTGTTTACAATTTTTTATGTGGCCATGTGTTTTTATTTTTCTTCGGTGTGGAATTTTAATCTTAGCGGATCATATGGTATCTCTATGGTGGAACACTTAGAGGAATTTTCAAACTATTTCCCAAAGGGATTGCACCCTCATTATTATTCTCATTAGCAAATAAGAGCATTTAAACTTCTTCACATTCTTACCAGCATTGATTTTTATCTGTCTCTTTGATTATAAACATCTGGTGGATATCAAGTGGTATCTTGTTGTTTTGACTTTTATCTACCTAATTATTAGTGATGCTGAGCAAATTTTCATGTGCTTATTGAAAATTTGCATATCTTCTTTGGAGGAGTGTCTGTTAAAACTTTGTTCATTTGGGGTTTGGTTTGTCTTTTTTTTTACTATTGTAAAATTTCTTTGTATATTCTTGATACATGTGTCATATCAATATATGATTTGAAAATATTATTGCACATTGTATGAGTTGTCTTTATTGATGATGTTCTTTGAAGTATAAAAAATTCTTCATTTTGATCAGTTAGTCTCACTTAACCTTTTTTTAATGCTATTCCTTTTGGTGTTTTACCTAAGGATTTGTCTAATCCAAGGTCATGAAAATTAATACCTGTGTT